GAGGTCACACAGGCATGCAAAAAAACGCTTGGTAAAATTTAAGACATAGTGGAAAAATATCAAATGTAATATTTCAGAGAACGTACGTAAGTGTCAAAAAGCTAAAACAACAGAGCACTCTGAGACTCCTTTAACTTTTACAGACACACCAATAAGTGTTTTCGACAAAGTACTTATTGACAGAATTGGTGCACTACAAGGATTATTAGGATTATCTATAACCTGAAATGTGCAGAAGGCGCTGAAAAAGCTATATTCGAATCACTTATTCCAAAGAACGGCCCAATGAAGACGTTTATTACAGTAAAGGAGAAACGAATACAAGAATTCCATAATTAACCATTTATGTAAATATTTAAAAATAGAGAACATTACGTCTACAGGGCACCATCACCAGACATTACGAACTGGTGAACGAAGTCACATAAACATAATTGAATTCATACATATCAGTTGATAGAACTGATAGGGAAGTATGGCTTCAATATTTTGTTTATTGATACTATATAACCCCATCCATGGCACCTGATTATTGCCAATATGAACTAGTTTTTAGCAAAAGCTCAAACCTACCAAAACATTTTAATAGCATAGATAAAATATTACCACTTTAATATAGAAGATTACGCAAAGAAATCTAGTATAAGATTAGAACAAGCTTATAAGAGATCAAGAATATTTATAGAAAATAATTAGAAAAAACAGAAAGACTATTATGATAGGGAACGGTCACATTTTAAATTAGAATTAGCAGTCTAAGTTTTAATAAAAACAGGTAATAAGCTGGAAGATAGATATCTAGGACCCAATAATAACATTATCATAATAAATTTTAAAATTAAAAATCAAAAAGTACATAATGATAGATTATAATTGTTTTATACATAACATTATTAACACACAAAGAAGAAGGTATAAATAATAACAATGACTCGTAATTTCAAAATCAAAGTTAACAAACAATTAAAACAATCTTAAAACTTTTTTTTTTTAACATTAAATAATTTCATATAATTACTTTATTGATTTTAAAAGGGGAGGTATAGTTTATTCATGCATGCACAATGTAACATTTTGTTGCAATCATAAACATTGATACTTATAACTATGATCAGCCACTTGACGGTTGCATTACGGCATAAGCGCTGACTAAGCATGCCACAGGCGAATGCCCAGGAGCGCAATGTACAAGAACTAATACTTCAACATAACCATATATGCATGACATTAAGTAATAAAGAGACAGAGCTAAAGACTCCGAGCTTTTCAAACTCAAAAATAAACCTCTTTTTTTATAGGGAGCAACAACAAATCACTTGCAAAACAACAACAGTGCGCACGAAACCCCATTTTTTTTTTCGTCTTCCGTCTTGATCATCAAAAGTTTCTGCGCGATAATGAGGACATAGGAAACTCAGTGCAAAGAAAAGGGACAAATAATGCCACTGCGTTTGTTGTTGGTTTCTATGTCGTTCCAACAAGGCAGCGCGTAGAAACAACAACAACACGATTTGGGTTCTAATGTTGTTGCTGCAGGCAGAGCCGAGTCTTGGCGCAAGTAGGTAGAAAATTTGAATGCCAGCAGGCCATGGCGTTCAAATCAAAAGGTGCGTCAACATCATATACTATGACGTAACGTTTTAAAGAATTTCATTTCTTGTGATGCTTAGAATATATTTCTATCTTTATTACGTACATTAAAGTAATATATTAATAGGGTCTTTTATAAAAATGCATATATTTAATAATGTATTACTTTATTGTACGCAACGCTCGCATACAAAAAGCCCTAGCCTGCGACGTCACATGCGCAACAGAATGCTGCAATCTTCTTAAATTCATATTCTTCTCTTGGCTAGGAAAATATGTAAATACATGCATATTTTTTACCAATATGTGTGAGATGAGGCACACATGCCAACAACTATTTGGCGCGTCGAGGCATTGATACCCTAATACATAGAAATTGTATAGAATGTTTCAAGAAAACAATTATTATTGATTGCACTAACAGTTGCACACAAAATACGTAATTATATTTTTCTCAGGCATTGGGCCAAATATGTGTATATAAGAAGGTTAGTGGTACTTGGTTACAGAACTTATGAATAGTTAAAATACCCTATTTTGGGAAAGGGTGCCTTGCTCATCAAAAAATGAAAAGTTATAAAATCTTGCTTGCAAGTTGAAAGCGAGTGAAGAAGAAGAAGATATGACTTTGGGACTTTGCGAATTATAGGCATAGCAGTGTTTAGAAACTACAATTATGAGTTAGAAGAGTGCAGAAGCTAGGATCATAGGTTATAGCCTCAAACCAAAGAGGGATAGCAGGGACAGAATTTGTGGTGTGCTTTTTTCATTGTCGAGTCGTTTGTTTTGATTATGGTTGTTGTTGGTTCATATGGGAAATGTTCTGAAGTTGTCATTGATTTTTGGGCGACAGAAGTAGCTGTAGACAACCGCGCTATCGCGCACGAAGTGCTTCGAAAAAGAGATTTTGATCCAAAAGCCTCCTCTGTCTCTTTATTACTCAATGTATGCATGAGTACGCTCTCCCTCTTTGAGCATGTTAGCTCTTAACATAATTATTCAATAATTCAATAAAATCGTTCTGAGAAATCGTTCTGATAAACCGACTCCGCAAAAGATTACCACAATGCTCCTCCACAGTTTTGGCGCTGTTTTATTCTCTGAAGAGTCCAAATATAACATGTTTGGCTCAACTGGACGGCTGCAAGTGTGGAGAATAACTGGAGAAGCATATAACCCAAAATAAGACAATTAAAAATGGTGTAGGTGGAGTGATGTTAAATAAAATTTCAGGCCAAGCGTGCAAAAATTGGACATATCAATCTCGTTTATTTTCAACAAGATAATGCCCTGAAGCATATGGCTAATAATACGCGAATTTATCTTTCATTTAATACGCCACATTTACTCAAGACGCCACCCGAGTCTTGATTTATATGTTAGAAAAGAAGATCAGAAATCGCTTCATTAGCTCGAAATTCAAACTAATAGAGGGTACAGTGGACGAAAATTGAACAATTTTACATAGAGGAAAGAGGATACCTAACCAAATACTAATTTTTAATAACTTTTGTTATAGGTCTTAAAAAAACAAAATTGTATTTTAAAATTTTTTGTTTTGCCCTTTTGCGAGTGAGCTATTTACGTTACCAAAAAATATTTTAGTCGCTGTACGACATTATTGGTACAGTGTGCCTCGCTTGCTTATCGTTAAAACTTGACTTTAGTGTCATAACATGTCATCATGTTATTTATGTTACGTATACAAGAAAAATAAGAGCCACTAGGATTGTTTTTAAAAGCGACTCAGCTCAAAGAATTAAGATTAAGGAACATATAAATACGCTTTTACTTTTTACAAATACATAGGAATAACTTTTTTTTTACGTTTTTAAAGTATTAAGGGAGCTTTGTCAATTAAAAAATTGTGGTGGTAATAATTTTTTTTCGCAACTATATTTGTTTAAATATTTTAGCACGATAATGCAGCTCTTGAGTTTCATACAGTCATCAAAAATGTACAACACATATTAATATTTTACTCAACTGTTTATAATATAAATATTTAAAAAGTTTAGTAAATTGACAACTATCAGTTTTTCTTTCTGCCAAGAGTTTACTTAAATTTTGAAAAAATGGGCACGAAAAAGCTAATTGGGGATAGTTAGTACATTTAATCGGCCACTTTGCGATGGTATTTTTTTTAAGTCGATTGCCATTATATATATATAATGGCATATATATATATATATATATTTTTAAGTCGATTGCCATTATATATATATATATATATATATAATGGCAATCGACTTAAAAAAATACCATCGCAAAGTGGCCGATGAAATGTACTAGCTATCCCCAATTATATATATATATATATATATATGTATTTATTTATATATATTAAAACATATGGAACATATATATATATAACCTAAAAACATATGAAACATATATTTATAACATAAAAACATATATATATAACATAAAAACATATGAAACATATATAACAACAACAGTAATGTCTTCACCGTTTCTTTTTATTACTTATTCGATTTTCGGCTTTACTTTAAACGCACTATTGAAAAACATCAAAAATCGAAACATCTTTCATAAGAAATAATAGTCCTTTGCAAATGAATAATCTTATATCCATCAGCGCCATCTAAACTTAATTTTTTCTCATACGAAAATATAGTCTGCAAAGCGAAAGATTTGAATATTTGGTGCTAATAAAAGGTTCAGAAAAATGATCACATTTCTCAAATTTAAGGCCATGTTTTTCCCTGCGAATTCTATAGCTATCTTGTGACGGTCTAGCACTCTTTTAGATTTAAGATTTTGTATTTCTATAACTTTGGACACGTGCAGTGCTCAAGCTGAGCTCAATGAGGTAACAGTCATGGCAATTTGGTTGGATTTGCATCGCTTATCTCGGTTAGAAACTTTTGTTCTTGTGCCTCATTCTTCAGGGTTCTTAAAAAATTTCTGACGACGGCATCAGAACGATTAATTTTTCTAGCAATTTCTCGTATTCTAGAAGCACATAATATTCATTTTCCCTCGTCGATAAGGTATAAACTACACGGCATGTTCATATTTGAATTAATTCTAATTTAATATTTAATAGTAACAATTATTTAAGCGAATCTGCTTTTTAAAAACCGACGAGAAAACTAATATTATCGTTTATAGTTTTGCACCAGCCGAAATTCGAACGATAAAAAAAAAAATCGGTGAAGTGTTGATGTTTTGTACTTTTTATGCTTTATTTTCCATTGTCTTTCGTTCCTCATCTGTAATTTATCACTCGCCCGATTCTTAAGAATAGTACACTGGAAAAATTGGGTGAGTTTATAGTTGTGTCTCAGAGTATATATATATATGTGTATCTCCCAAAACAGAATACTATATAATCTATCATGGTATTTATTTGGATAACAATGCACAACCTGTTGGTTTAAACTTACCGTAATCCCGCCGTTAGTCTTATCACACTGAAACAAATACGATATGAATAGAAAGATAATAAAGTGTATTTACAGAAAATACATACGATATTAGTTTCGTTGAAGTTGTTAGTGCAGTGATTTGAATTCTGCCCAAAAAGTAAAAAATATTGGTATTTTTATACATAGGTATCAATTAAATTAAAACTTACATCAGTAAAATTTTCATTTAGATCGTTATCCTTTTGAAGCAAAAGACTGGTCCCTATAACCTTCGATGAACTGTTCGTAAAGTCTTGAATTTCCAACGTCAGTCCCGCTGCGACTGCTTCTGTTGCAATTACATCGGCTTCACTGCATTCTAAACCATTCAGCTTCTGTTGGTATTCAGTACATTGTTAATATTAATATCTTTTTTTGTATTGCTTTACTCACTTTGATTTTTGGACATGAGGACGAAATAACCTTTAGACGACTATTTAATGTGGCAGCCTCAGTTGAATTTGTGCTATTAATGCTAATATATTCTACTGCCACACTATTTGGTTGGTTAGCATTCTTGGTGGTATTTTGAGATTTACTCTCGCTACTACTACTTTCATTTCCATTATCACTTAGATTTATGTGTGGCACGACCGAACCAATGGATAGCTTTGCATTACCATTATCCAGAAGGCAGCTATCAATGACAGTATTTACGGTTCCTGGGATAGTCGTATTGTTTATGTTGATGACAGAGGATGCGGTTTGCTTAGATTGGGTTAAATGGTTCAAATGTTGATTATTACTAATTTGATTTTGATTTGCATTGCTGTTAATGTCAATGCTAATAGTACTGGCACTCCCGCTTAGCTGATCCTGCTGTTGTCGATATGGATCTTCCACCCAATTATCTGCTTCCGTGTCCGGTGCGTTACACATGCTTGCCAATGGCACAGTATATACCGTATTGCTATTGTTGTTACTTGCTGTATTATTGTTAATGTTAGTACTAATGCTGTTAGACGTAGCCACAATTGTGCCCCCCATCCCAGCACCGACACCGCGATGTTGGTGGTGATTAACTTCTTTTAAATTATTGTTGCTTACAATAGACAAACTGGAGAGATTGGTAGTTCGCAGTGTGTGCGGTTGGCCAGTATCGATGATCTTTGGCATTTTCATCTCCTCTATGCTATAGGTGCACGTCAGTTCTTCTAATGCCGAAAGCCGTTTTTCCTTGCGTTTTTGACCCAATTTAATAGCAAACTGTTTTTAATCACATATATATACACAAAAATTAAGACATTAAGAAAAAAAAGAAATAGTAATCATTCCTTTACCGCAGAAGTACTTTAAACTTACCTCAAGATCTTCGTAAGTTTTAAACTCTAATATGGCAAATCCATCAATAATTTCCTCTTCTAGGACAGGTGATCTTGGCAATTTTCGGCGAACTGGAGGTGGCGGCCTTGGGGGGGGCTTATCGCGCGGAAGCAGCAATGTTGACGATGATGATGTTGAAAGGAGATCTTCATCCAGTGATTCACCTTCGCTGTCACTAGGGGTGGCCATAAGACCAGAATTACATTCGGGCGAATGTGGCGGATTTAATAGCAGTGATGCAATGCTGTCCGTAGGTGGTAGTAAATTGTTACTGCCGTTACTACTGCTAGTAAAGTTTCCATTGGAATTATTGCTATCTTCGCCCATACTACCAGCACTATTGAGGTTGTATAGCAAGCTATTCCCAGGAGCCACTGCGCTAGAGTTACCCATTATTATGGTAGGTGCAGTTACCGAACCAATGATACCGCCACTGCTACCACCAGTAGCAGCGCCAATACCAAGGCTAACGCTAACACCAACAGATCCTGCAATTAGAGTGCCACTTAATGCACTTAAATTGCATCGACTATCGCGCTCTGCCTGCAGGCGCTGGGCTCGCTCACGCCGACGTTTTTGTTGGCGCTGCTGTTTTGTGTTAAGACTCAGTTGAGGACAACTACTGGAGGTGTTGTTGCTATTGATGTGGCCGTTTGTGGTTGCTAATAATGCAGTTTGAACTGGTGCGCACGACAAGGTGGAGATTGGTGAAGTGGCCGAGTTGTCTACTGTGGACGCAACTTCTGTTGCAGCTGTTGCTGCTACGATTGACAATTCCGTGTCAGAGTCAAAATCACTTGCACATGGTGCAGGCGTTAGTGCTGTTTGGTCTGAAGAAGTGTGAGGTGGTGGTGTTGACGTTGGTATTAGTCCTGCAGTTACAAATGAAGGCGGCGCTGGGAGCAAACAACTCAATAAATCAACATCAGTTGCAGATCCTGCAACACTTAAATTCGGTGTAGGTGGCGGCAGGTTCAGTCCCACGGCCGTTGTGTTTGGCATTGTTATCGACGTAAGTGTTGAAGTGACTGGTTGATCACTTACAACTGCAATCGTACCAAGTGTGTTCGTCGCATCTTGTTGTTGATTTTTGTTGGCACTCACGATAGCCGAGTTCACAGGAATAACCGCTTTAGCTGCCTCTACACTGTCGAGTTGCGTTAAAAGAGCGCGTGACTCCTGTAGAACGCTTGAGGCAGCAAGCGATTTTAACACCGGCGTTCCAGTTGAGTTTGTATTGTTGGTATCCATGTCAATAAATTATTATTAGCTGTTTCTCTTTTTGTGTGTGCTTGCGCCTTTCTATAGTATCAATAATTGTCTGTTGTTTCTATTTTAGCTATTAATGCTGTGGGTGCCATCAAAGCTATAATCACCGAAATTGAAAATAATGAGTCCATTGGTGTGCGCATAATAAGGAAACGATGTGTGATTTACCTTTCATAGTAAAGATGAAATATAAAATACCACTCCACCTAATAATAATTTTAGTACCAGCCAAACGGTTTGTTGTAGAGTAAAATGCACTAATCGGTTAAGAATTTTGGACAATTTTCTAAAATATGTGATATACCATTTATAGGTGACCGGTCGTAAATCATTTTTTTTGTGTTTGTATTAAATTCATACTTACACACATATGAACAAAAAACGTATGATATATATTTATGTTGCGTGTTCATTTAAACATATGTAAATTGTACATAAATACATACATAGCATTATCATTCCCCCTTTCTCTATCCACCGCCCGACACCATCTTTTACACTTTTCATCACTCCGTCAGAAAGGTTCATACTTGCACTTATGTACTTCACTAAACAAAAAACACGTATATTTGAACACAAATGCATATTATTGACCATGTTTTAAACTGAAACTGTTTTCATTTGTGTCTACATAATATACATATATAAGTTTTTGTACTTATGAACACACATATATGTATGTATAAATTAGTTTTTATCCATATTACAAATGTTCATTGTTTCGTTGTATTTAATATATTCTTGGTATGTTATTTCTCATAATTACAATCACGACAGATTTTTATATATTTTTGAAATTGTTTTATTTCTTTATGCTCTATAGTCGCTAGAGCAATGTCGGCTACAAGAGCGCTCGCGCGCTACTTGCCTTGTATGTATGTATGTGTATGAAAGATGTTGTATACAATGATTCTAGTAGCAATAGCCATCTCGCTTGCACTTGTTTGAAAAGTGCACACAATATTCCGTGTTTCCTACGTGTTGTGTACGCAGCAACAGCCACAGCGCCGCACACATCAGTACGCATTACATACTATTTGTCGAAAGTTGTAATTAATTTTTAAACATTTTACATTTGATTCACGCGGTATCTACATATATCTATTATGGTAAGCACTTTTATATTTAACAATTTATTCACTTTCGTGTAAGTTTAAGTGTTTTATAATCATTTGCTAAATTTTAAACTTTCTGACCACAAAGTCGAACACGAAAACAGTGAAGTAGTATAATCGATTTTCATTAACTATAAATCGATTAGTCATATTCTACAACTAGATTGTAATCGAAAACTAAATAGGGCAAGATAACAACAATTTAAAAAAGATAAAAATTGAATAATTTTTGCTGGTGTTGCAATACGAGGAACACGATAAGGTGACCAAAATATATAAAAAATATTGTAGAACCTTTAAATTTATGGTGTAAAGCTCATTGGCGCATATACATTTCTTTTAAATTACTGAATTCAGTAAGAGTATCATTCTAAAATAAGTACCTCAAACCGAAGATCGGTAGATGCTGGTACAAATCTGTAACTTATTCTATTTAGATGCATTGCTGTAGTATTTTCTGCCTAGTATTTTACATATTTTCAAAGTATATAACAGACCATTCAAAGATTTGAGAGAAACTAAAAATTGTTCCCAGTAATTAAGTTTTGGTTTGCTAAGTCAGCTCGAGAATGCATATCATTTAACTTTAAAGATTTTAGTCCATTGAATAATATAGATATTTACTTACTATTTATTGGAACCTCAAGTATTCAGACAAATGGCTTGGGTGGCCTGCTATGTTAAACTCACAAAGGTATATAAATTAAGAAGTTGCCGTCCCGCGCTGTTGAAGAATGCCTAACAATGCGTGTTATCTTGTATGTGGTCCAGCGCAGTCGGCCGCTGTCCAGGGTATGTCGCAGTCAATATGCCAGGAAATTGTAACAAGTCTTCTTACGTTGATTATGTTGGGAGCTTCACTTCGCTCTTTCATAGCTGGCCTTGTGGCTCAGTGATTGTATCAATAATAAGAAAGTATTTTATAACGGCAAGGCCGAAGCAAGTTTATCTATTGAAAGTCATATTCAAACTAAATTGCATTGAATTATTGAATTGGATTGAACCCAAAGGCTGGGCGCACAAGTCTCAGCTGCCATATCCGGATAGCCGAATCAGCATACGCCAGCATACCGCTGCTGGCCGGGCACTGAACTCATGTGTCAGCAGAATGTCGCAATGTAAGCAAAGGGCACTGCAACATTCTTGCGTTCTTATAAACAAAAGTGTGTTCTTATGACATAAATATAAAGTGCAATTCTTATGTGTTAACTACTCCCCCATTAAGCTTCTGACCGTCCTCGTTTATTTTATAGCTGTTAATGGCCTTCTGTACCTCCTTCGATGCTTGTCTTTTCTTTACAATTTGCCAAACGATGATAAAGCCAATGCCAACGACACTGAGGATGATGCTTGCTGTAGTCCAAATCTTATGTGACCCGGTGGCCTTCAATTCGTCCTCGAAATTTTGGATCCTGGGGAGCTGGGGCATGGGGCATACTTAGCACTGGATCGTGGCTGATTATGCTGAGTAGAGGCGACCCTGCTACGCCTGGCAATCTTGTAAGAGGAAGGTGACGAGATGTGTCCCGTTTGTAGTAATCTCTGGACCATCGTCTGTGCTGACCTTGGCAGCACTCTGGTTGATAATGATAATGCCGTCATTGACTTGTGTGATGGGCTTTAGGTGGCTTGGCTGCGTGCGGCAAAGGGCTGTGCTGCCGGCGTGCAGTGCTCGTGCGCAGGTGTCTTGCGCTGCCAATTTACAGACGGCGGCGTAAGTTTTCGTTACGCATTCATTGATCGCTAGAATGCCATCGTTGCATTCGGCTATGGTATCATCTTGTAGTGTGACGTGTTGGTGTGCCATTGGGTAGATGGTGATTTTCTTGCAGATGAGCTTGACCCCTGGATAATCTATAAATATACGGACAATGTTCTCGGACTGGAGGACCTTGATTTTAGACCTTTCGGTTAGGCTAACTATGGGAACTTCGACATGGTGTTCATTTATAATTGATTTCAAATCATCGTGATCAAAAATAGTGGGATTTATTATACCCGCTTTAGCTAGTGTAATTGTGAGTATCAAGTTCGATATTTGATTTATTAGTATTCTATCCTTGCTAATAGTGTTTCATACAAATGCGGTGTGTCAACCAATTCATTTTTTTAGCTTTAATTATTTCATTCACAGTGTCGGTGAGTTTATTAATTTGTGTCTGTGTTTGTGTATTAAAGAATGGAAATTGTTGTGCCCTTAAACTCTTAAAATGCTATTTTAGCTCGTGTGATTTTTATTTGAGAGCAACAATCATTTGAGGTTGCCCTTATGGACCACCCTCCCTCTAATAAGAACAGACGTTCCCAGGTCTGCTTGAATTGTTTCTTCTGTGCAAAGCGGTGTTATTTTCTAATCTGTTATTTTTACGATAACTTTTTCGCCTACCTCAAATACTCTGTTTTGTCTATTCGGGTTGGATCTTTCAATGCTATCGTGCTGGGCCTTTGCAATTTTATTTTTAATGGCCAGCCAAAGTTCGTTTGACGCTGCGTATATTATGTCGATGGGTGTCTGGTCTGTGACCGAATGTATGTATCGGTTGTACGCGATTGTACCTTAGTATCAAGTCGACTGTATCGTCAGACATTTTTTTTAGGCTAAATGCTCTGGCTATGTCTGCAATGTCTACACCACTGTGTAGTGGTAGCGCGTTCCCAATGTCGACGTCGTACCCGTTTTTTAACAGCGCCCTGATAGTTTCTGAATTAAAAGAACTTCGTTATCGCAATAAATTGTCTTGGTCTGTGGGAATAAATTCAACAGCTGAATGGTGATCGGTTTTACATCCATTTTTGTGCGAGACGCCAGTGGCTGTACTGCGGCGAATTTTGAGAACTTGTCAATGCAAGTAAAAAATTTTTTTTTCTCAGTTAAAACAAGATATCAATGTGGACTCTTTTTCCAGCGTATGATGGAATTGGTATCTCACCATGTATTTGTTTTTTGGGGTGCCTATCGTTACTATTTCGTTGGCCAACTTTGTCATTTGTGGAAAATAATAATCGCGAAGGATTTGTTTAGTATTCTCCTGGGCGGCTCTGTGCGCGTGGTTATGTTCGGTGGTGACAATTTCGATTTGTTCATTTTTATCTGTAATGTCGACCACGATATTTTTCCAGTAGCAGAATTTGGTTGCGGGGAAATTTAGCACCAAATCATGTTGTATAAAGGTGGCGTATTTTTTGGCCAAAGAGGATGATAACTCGTTTCAAAGGGAATTTCGCTTCTTCAAGAACAATTTGATTTTTGAAACAGCTTAAAGGCTTTTCAGTCGTTTCGATCGTGTAGGTCAATGACATTTCGCTGTGAATCGTTGCAGCGCCTGACTGTATATCGTTTTGTAAGGCGCTTACATTTTGATGAGACAGGGCAACCGCCACGGAATTTTCTTTTCCTGGTTTGTAGAACACTTTTGCGTTGTATTCATCAATGAATGCCCTTCGTCGTTTGATGTTTGCATTCGTGTTTCTATCTGAGACAGCAAAAGTAAGGGGCTGATGATCAGTCAAAATATTTATTTCTCTTGTCCCATAGAGGTATTTTTTCAGTTTATCTAGAACCCAGACAATAGACAATTCTCGCTCATTCGTAGCGTAGTGTGCTTTGTTTTAGCGTGCGTGTAATCATGGAAATATGTCTGCCCCTTGGGATAGGACTGCACAGATGCCATCCATTGAGGCGTCAGTAGTTAGGTCAAACGGAAGTCTGGGTACATAAGTATGACATATTCTGATGCCAGGATATTCTTCAGCCTTTCGAAGGCATTACGTTGAGTCTCGTCAAATACAATCGTGACCATTTTGGACATATGTTTGCTCACCGAGCCATTTTCTCCTTTGAGAATATTGGTTAGAGGTAGTAACTAGCTAACCCCAGATACTCTTGTATCGCTCTGACCTTTTCAGGGTCAGTCGTTGCCCCGTTTTGGGTCACCACAAAGCCTAAGAATTCGACACTCTCTTTAAAGAACTTGGTTTTCTTTTGTGCTACTCTCATGTTGGCATCGGCCAAGCATTTTAGGATTGTGTCAATATGTTGCACATGGTCAATTTCGTTTATTTTTTATTATTATTTCGATTATTACGTCATCCACGTAAACGTAACATATTTTTCCCATGTGAAGTTTACACAGTCACAGTAATGATACTGCAACTGCTCGGATTTGTTTTTGTAATTAATAGTTGATACGTAAGTTCAACGCTACTTGTGCCTGTGTTAACAAGTCGAATCCTATAATGGCTTCAAATGAGTTGAGTGAGTCCAGCACGAAGAATAGGGAGATTTGGCCAAACATTTTCATAAGACACTTATTGGTTACTTTGCTCGATCCGTGTATCGAGTTTACGGTGAAAGGGCTTTATTTATTTATTTATTTATTAGTGGTCGACAAAACGAGTGTCTTCCTAATTATTCAATACATTATATTTACAATTATGAAATTTAGATGCTAAAAGCCTAGATAGAGAACACAAATTTCTAATAGCATCACCGACCGATGGAGGTGTTTTATTTGCCAGTCCGGCCAGCTGTGCCCCTTTTCACACCTAATTTTGTCAGTGACGCTATTAGAGCCTACATCTAAGAAGAAGGGTGTAAGTAGGAAAAAGTGCTCTTAAGTAAAATTAAAAATAATCTTAATTTGCTATATTATTTAAGAATATATCATAAATAGGAGAAAAGAAAGTAAAAAGATTGTTAATAAAGTAAAGAACTGTATGCTAGATATACAGAGTGTTAAGTAGATAGGATAAAGAGATAGTATTGGGAAAGTAATGGGAAATCACCGACCCGGTTGGGGAGAATTTACAGCCTGTCCGGCAAGCTATGCCCCTGCTCATAGCTGGGAATGGTCAGTGACTTCCCGAAGGTATCCTGAAAGCAACGATTTTATTAGGGGTAGAGAAAGTTCGGTAGAGAAAACGTGATGCAAACTATTGTAATTTTTACATAGCACGCGAAAAGGATTGTGCATAGCGTAGTCTGTTGTGCACGTAGATAGGAATAAGGGGCGGTAATTTCTGGTTGGTCTAGCCGGAACAGAGAATTGAAGACGCCCTAGCAGAAA